AATGGAAGTTAAAATTCTTGTAACTTTATCAATATGCAGGAAACAGGATTGTTGTAAAATAAAACAAAAGTTTCATTGAGTTTTGCTGAAACCTATCTGTACATGCAATCAATGTTATATTTCCTGTCATTTAAAAATAATACCCAACATTGAACTCACATGAACATGTGTATTTAAAAATAACATGCTAATTTTATTTCTCCATCTTTCCAGATGCCTGTGTGGAAGTGGCGGTGCCGCTAAGTAGTTGGTCGACGGGAGTAGCATGCTGCCCCAACTGCAGGCACGAGCTACGCGTGTCACTTGCCCCAAACGCGGGGAAGTGCCACGCATCGCCCCACACGCCACCCCCCTTCACAGTCCAGCCGACATACTTGCCACATTCACCCACCACTCTTCCAACCTCACCATTTATCCCTTCACCATACAATGATGAGCTGAGGAGGTTAGCAGACACCCTTAGAGCATTAAGGCTGTCTGGCTGGTACTATGGCAGTTTGGACTGGCTGGTGTGTATTTTTCTGTATACTGTAAACTAGCGCCATCTCTTAGCGATGTTGAGAACTAAAAAATTTAAACACAAAGTGGGCATAACATTAATTACGATTACAAAGAGTTCTTTTGTTACAAAATTAAAGAGAAGGTTCTCAATTAGTTCCTGGAGGATAAAATTAGATTAGATTTATTTTATGGACTGTAATTATTACAGTTTTCCTCAAACATTACCAGTACTTTATAATTGACTGACAGCTAGATTGAGTATTGTTTTTACTTGTTGAAAAAGGGACTGTTCAGTTATATGAATTGGTCTTGTCTTTATGACATATATTAATCAAAATAGTTCTTTGTTATGTTTCTAGGTATTGAGCTGAAGATAGTCATAAAGAATGAGGTTGAAGTTCAATCACCTTTGCCATAATCACTGTGAAATATTGGCCATTGACTTGTCCTTAATAAATCTAAAGAGATTACGAGAAATTGGAATAATATGTCGTTTGTTTAAGCTTTAAAAGATTAGATTAATTACACTGTAGATTTTGTGTCATCAAATTTATGCTAAGCATGTAAAGTTAATTATTTGCACATATTTTATAATCTTCTTTCTTTCTTTACAGGGAGCCCGAACGGTTTTAAAAGACGCTAGCGTTGGCGCGTTCGTGATCAGAGACTCTGGCGATAGGAACTTCATATTCTCATTATCAGTACAGACTGAACGAGGCCCCACTTCCGTGAGGCTACACTACGAACAAGGTTTCTTTAGGTAAACCTACATTTAATTTAAAAATAGACTACAATTATTGCAATTAAGTTTAGCTTACGTTAATGTATAATAACTTAAATGTGAAATAAATTACCTAAAGTGCAATTAAGCACTAAACAAATTCATAAAATTGGAAAGTTTGATGAGTCAATTAGTTAGAGTGCCATTATTTTTCAACGCATTACCAATTTTATAAATAAAATGAATAATGTCTGAAGACTGACTTTAATGATTTTGCCTCCTTGTTACGTCATTATTACGTGTAAAGTTACGTCAGAAGTTCACAGTAATTCGGTTGCTAATGTTACGCTGCTACCGTGCTCCGTGCTACCGTTGACTCAGATCCCCGCGGTTTTCCTTAATTTTATTGTCGTGTTTCTACTGGAACTTTTTTGACAATTCGTTCAGCATCTGATGACCGTGACGATTAGAATCGTTTACTTTTACCTACTTGGCATATAATAGACTATTTTTTTTGTAATAAATAGAGTACATCATTAATAATGGGTTATTTTTTCAGGTTAGACTGTGACAGGCCGTTGGCGAGGTATATGCCGCGCTTCAGGTGCGTGGTGGAGCTGGTGCAGCATTACGCGCGAGTGGGAGAGCGCGGCGCGGCGGGCACGGTGTGGGTGGACCGCGAGGGCTGCCCACACTCCCCTGTCATGCTGAAGTCTCCGCTGCGCAAATCGCCACCTTCACTCCTCCACGCAGCCCGCCTAGCAGTACACAAGGCCCTTGACTCCAACCCCCTCACGCCAAAACTATGGACCGCTCCCAAACACAGGCTGCTTCCTCTACCTTCCACACTTATAGACTATCTCGGTGAATATCCATACTCGATCTAACGCTCCGAATATTTCATATATCTTAGTTATTTATTTAGTCCAATCTGAGCGATGCCTAGTGAAGATATTAGTTATTATAGAAGTGGTCGCGAACGATCATCGTCTCAACTGATTGTGATTTGATTCCTATGACTGGGTGGCGGATGGGTCGATGTACTGAGCTGCTAGATTCCTAAGGTGGACTTCGAGTTTGCATTATCATAATATTATAATCTTATTTGTACAAATTAATATGCATTACCTAGTACAGGTTACTAGAAAGGGCCGGATCCTTTAAATACCGACTAACAAAATAATTTATAAAATAGTAAAATTAATAATGTTAACTGTATTATTTGTAAGTATTGAATATGGGACTCAACTATGGTATTTAGTGAAATGTTTTCGCAGATTATTTTTATTAAGCCTACTCTGTGTCTGTATATAAAGATGTTTTGAGAAAATAACGCAAGACTGATTCCTTGAACTTGAAGTACTGTTTGTGCAAGTATTGCGTGAATAAGTTTCCGTCGCGCCATACGAGCTGGCCGGGGCCCTGCAGCCTGCCTGGCTGGCTGGCGTACGCCCACAATGATTCCCTGCTGATATTATTATTGTAGCAAATTGTTCACTAATGCCTAATCTTGTCCATCGTGTTAAGCAAGTCATCACATTATATAATAGAGCTATATTTTTATTTATTTATTCTTGGTTAAGTTAGGATTATCATCGACCTTACAACATATTTGTTCTTTCTTGTTCCTATTCACGGTTGGTTTAGACACGTGTCCTTTCATTCCGGTGTCTCGACGCCCGGCGCTCCCACATACATAGCCTAGTTTTACAAAAGTGCCATCAAAACATTTAAAAACCATATTGAGAACTGTAATATTTAATTAAAATGGAAGTATTTTGAGGCTGAACATCATGTACATAGTTCTTGTTTTGTTTTTCTATTTATTTCCTTTTATTGATAAGTAATGAGAAAATATGAAATATATAATCGCCACTGTGTAACCATGTAATGGTTTGGTGTTGTGTAAGCTTTGTTTGTGGTGAATTTTGTGACATTGGAGGGTAGTGAGGAACTTCAACGTAGCTGGATATGTTTCATTAGACTGTAGAATTAATAATTAATATATAATATTTGTTTTGTCATCAAGTTTATCACAAGCAAGGCGATAGAATGTGAAGAGAGTTCGGCTAGTGATATTCACTAATATAGGATAGATCATGTATGTACCTTGAATAATCTCAATTATACATAAGCTTCACAATATGAATATCATTTATTAGAAAAATATCCGTAATTAATAAATTAATAAGCCTCAAAATTATTTAATAATAACTTATTATAATTACCTATCCGTTGTCTTCGTAAATATATATAACCAATTGTCTTTGAAACGAAGTTATTTTTGTACCATTTTGTAAGGGGAAAGCACCAATTAAATAAGTGTGACATAATAGAGAATACTTGTGTTTAAATGTTTGTAGATTAATGTATTGAAAGAACTGCAAATAATTTATATACAAAAAAAAAAACAAAATATACATTCTGCCTATAATTTCGATTTTTATTTACAACCCTGTAGACATTTACAACCTTATCTTTTTGCAATTATAGTTGAAATTCAATACCTAATAATAAGGATTGGGGAAGGAAATGAATGGGCCACCGGTAATCACAAGCAGACGGCGAAACACAACGCTGCCGTTGATTTACGCCGGTTTTCTGTGAGGCCGTGGTATCACTCTTGGCTTGGTCGAAGCTTGGTTCTTCCACGTTGAATTTCTTCAATAGTAGAGCAATTCAGTTTTGATAGCTAACTATTACATAATGTAGGTGTTCCAGAAAACCGAAAGATACATACGAAATAGGAATAACTGTGTCATTGGTATTGTAAAATTTAAAAATCGAACTCTGCTAATCTAATTGACATCTCTATAAATCTGAAAAGTCTGTACGAAGTAAATGTAGGTAAATATGGTGTTAATACTTATACAAAATAAATACTGAACTTCATATTTTTTTCGGATAGGTATAAACAAAACACTACTATACAGACATACGCGGTTCATACGTTTATTTATTTATTTATTTGGACTTCCAACAGAGAAAACACTTTAAATGCCAGACAATATACATAACAAAATATTTTCTTGTGCTTCTCCACTTATAAGTTAGTTACGTTGTGGCAAATAAATTATTAATTGTGCGATTCATAATTTATAACAACTTTATCACTGACTACAAGCAAAAATTCGTTAACACTTTCTGTTGATCGAACTGGACTTTTTATACCTTTTAGTAGGTAGTTAAAAACGTTTAAAAACTATCGATTGGTTATCCTATTCATTGTTCAGATTCAGACACGCTCTAGCCACCAACTTGTTGGTACCTACGTTGTATGTTGTGTTAGGTATGGTATAAAAGAACACTCAATTTAAAAAAAGTTAAAATGTACACTGGTAATAAAGGGCAGTGTAGGAAGTATTTAATTTTAAATTTACCGCGGTGTTTTATTTTTCTATACGTTTAGTTAATGCTAGTTTCTTAAAATTGACAAAAAGGTACCAACAATTTATCGAAACGAAAAGGACAGTCCTCATCTTTATATATAAAACGTTATTAAACACTAATTAAATAAAAAGTTAACTTTGTAATTGTAGTATCAGAATTATATTTAAAATGAACTCTCGAATACTCTTTTGTGAAGAGCAGAAACGAGAAATGTCAAATGTTTGTCTCCATCTAAAAATATACAAGGAGTGAAAGCGAAGAAACGAAACGCAAAAGTGCTTTTGGGTTATTGTTTATTGATTGAATTCCTTCTTTTTATAATATTCATAAAAATAAGATCTACTTGAATAAAATACAATGTGAAATGAAATATACGTGACCCTACGCCATGTCAGCTAATGGGAATGGTGGGTTCTATGCACCGCTGAAACAAATACTGTCCGACTCTGAATCGGAGGATGATAAGCTTGAAAATGCAATGCATATTAAAGCAACGGACAGTTGCAACAATCTGGACTTCAATAGTGGCCTGCAATCTTCAAAGAACTACAGTATAAGCGACATGGACGAGTTTAACACCAACGTGAATACAGTGGAAAGCACAATGGACAACGTAAGCTTCTTGCAATCCGACATATCCACCAAGATGACTTTCCCGCGCCGGTGCGCATTCATCGCTTCCATACTCATGTGCGTATTCACCGTCGTGATATTCCTGTGGGGCATTCCTTGTTCAGAGGTCGGCAGCTGCGCCGCTAACGAATGGCAAGACAAAACTACCAGCTGGGAGTTGCCATACAATGAAATGGAACTGTCAGGAGCCGTACAGGTGGTCGACGGAGCAATTCCAAACACAAAGAACTTGATATTCATATACCGAGGCAATCACATGAGATTAGAACCTAAAAGCAGCAGTGAGAATGTTAATGGTGTAGTCCTCATTGTTGGCAATTCTGGCAAAGTTGGCTGGTTTACAAGGGAAAGTAGAATACCTACTGATATAAATTGTCACCTTCTTGATGTTAACAGGGACAAACAAAAGGACTGCATTGTGTCAGGCACAGAGGGATTGCTCGCTGCTCTAGACTCAGTGTCTGGAACTTATTACTGGCACATTCACAAGCAAGGAAAAGATCTGAGCAAAATAATTGCCCTAGACTTCCCTGTTATGGTAAAAGATATGAATGATGATAAAGTAAATGATTTGTTGACTGTAGCCACAGTATACCCCAATGCTAACCACAACTCTCTTTTGATGATTTCTGGTGCAACAGGCATGATCATGGCTGAGCCAATTCCTATTGATGATTGTTTGTCCGTGAAACTTCTAGCTGAGATGGATACAGTCACATACATCTGTAAGAATGGCACCACTGAGGCTGTGAGGTTGATATCTTTTTCAGTGTTAAAGAAAATGCTCAAGAAGGACCAGCCTATCAACCATACACAACCTCCTCCAACAGTCCTAAAAAGAGTCAATATAAGCATGAAAAAGAACATTGGAAATACTATAGAGACATTTACAAATGGTCCAGGTAAATTGAAAGTAGAAAATTCAGGCGAATGTCCAAATTCTTGCAGAGTCTACTTGAAACTTATGTTGGAAAGGAATGGTACAACTAATGTGAGTTGGGAGTACACTGCTAATAATGTCTATGCTATGAGGCCTAGCTCCTTTGCCTTTGCAAACTCCATAAGAGGCTTTGTGTTGAAATTATGACAGTGGAACAGTGCACACCTGGCAAAGGGTGCACTGAAAATTGATGAAGTCAGATACAATGTTCAAAATCAAAGCCCTAAAAACATTAATGACATGTTCTATCGATCAAATATAGATGTTGCATCAATATCAGCTTTCATTAAATACACTAACTTCACTGTCCACGATATTTCTGAGAGGATTGTTTTGGTACTATTTGACAAGCAGCAAACCCACAATGTTAATATCAGTCAGACAGATATAGTGCAGATATGTGTACGAGGGCCTATTGAGAGCAAGACCCCGCTGCCTCTGTGCCAGCCTGACTTGGAGTACCAGGAGAAGTCTTTGATGATAGCAGACTTGGATGGAGATCAGTCCCATGAACTAATATCATATTACAGTACCTTTGTAGCTCCAGAATATACACCAAAGAATTCAAATCCATATGATAACTGGAGTCTTACATCCTTAGTGAGGGTGATTCGTTTAGAATCAGAATTACCTAAACTGTTTGTTACTGATGTTTAAATACATTATCCCATGTAATCATCTTGCTTTACATTGTATTCTGCTGATATAAACTTCAATTTGCCAAATGTAATGCTGGTGTGCTGTATATGTAGCTTGGCAGCTAGCAATAAGGTATCTAGTCATTCATCTTGTACTTATTCTCCATTATATTGTGATGGGAGTTATCCAGAGAACACATTTATAAATATATAGATGCTCCTCGATCAGTAATCTGATCAGTCCATAATATCCTTACATATTCTTCATATAACTTAGGTAAGATATTACTCATGCATGTAGTTTTACAATCGTTTTCGCCTGGAGTGTTCAATGTTTATTATAATTACTATTAACAGTAGAACTAAGTATTCATGTACTTATTTATATATTTCTAGTCTTAAATGAATTAGGATCATTGTGACTGTATACCAAAATAGTATAAAACTTTATTAATCTGTTTCATTTTTCTAGTGGAATGAAGCCCCCTGTGGGTTTGTGTGATTAAAGTTTGCCTGATTATATAACAGCCAGGGTAAACATTTTCGTGTAGGTAATTAATTCTTTTGCAATGTTTATTTATTTATATTTTAAAAACATTTTTTCAGCTAATTATCTAAACCCTGGCTAAAATTTCTTGGAATCTCGATTTGAATCTGTTTTGGTCTGGTTATGGCACATGAAATTGCTAATCTATTAGTATTTATATTGTGGTGATAAGTTGCTTCACTAATTGTCTATTTAGGTTTGTATTAGAAACTATGCGGAGTGAAGTGCCTTAACGCGGGGGCTATGGAGTGGTTCTTTTGCGTCGATTCGTTGAAATAAAAAATTGACAAAACAATTTCTCATTTTTTTTTCTTTTTTAACCCATTACCAAAATGGAGGGTGGTTCTCAATTCGACCGTACATAATATGCTTTTTTTGTTATCAAGCTGCAAGTATTAATTTTTCGATTAACGAAAGAAAACATCACATAGGTACTTGTACGAAGTTTTATTGCAAATACAAATGTCATTTTACTTTGGAGCTAAACAAACTTAAAAACAAATTAATCTTAAAACATAATTATTCACTAAATAGGAATTTGTTCAATAATCAACTATGTACTTGTATTTCTAACAATAATTTAAAATACTAGGTACAAATATGTAAGACATTTAAATGCCCTATAATAAAATGCATACTAAATTTAATTTGTGAATTGGAGAATTCCTAAGAAATTCCTTTATGGTTAAAATACAATCAAAACACGAATTGAACAAGAAGTATAAAATTAAATGGATTATCGGCTTTTTAGAGGCATCAAATGCATATACCTCATAGATATACCTTATAAAGTTTTGAATTTAAGTTCACAAAATATTATGTGCCTAGCTTAAGTTTTGTACTTGAACAATTCTTTGTTTGAAGTTAGATAAAACTGAAATACCGAGACAGCAGTAACAAGCTTATGACAACAAAAGAGATGTCAACTTAGGAAGACAAGTTTTTTTATTGAATATACTCGTCTACCTTTCATTATAAGTTGCATTAGAGATTTTGATGTGTTATTTTGTATGGGTAGACTAATTCAAAAATACAAGATATCGTGACCAAATAATAATAATGAATTTAGAATCTACATGAAGATGGAATACGTCATTCTAAGCTATATCAAGGGAACTTATGTCTTAAAAACACTATTAAACATAAATTATACTAAAAATTTTAGAGTATAAATCAGTGGTAGATATTTGTGCAGTATGTTTCATTAATATTTTAGGCTGTCATACAGATAGCACCAATACTCATTTCATGCTCAACGGCTTACGTAACTTTTTGACCTACTTTAGTCCCTAGTGTTGCTTGAAATTAGTCAAGTGCCCTCGACAAACAGTTACGGTGACTAAGCCGTTAAAACACAGAAATAATTGTCTAACAAGAGTACTATTAAATAAAGTTATTCTTAATATTGAAAATATAAAACACAAAATAAGCTACTTTTATGTTTTTCAATCTCCGAAAAAAATTAAAAAGCTTAAGGACATCAAGGGCAAGAATTAAAATGTTTTTTTTTTACATTAAATTCTGTGGTATTTGATGCATTGAACACCAATTTAAGCGTGAATGGTAGAGATTCCATTATCTTTGACTAAGTGAAGCACCCAATTTAGACACCAGGGTTTATTTACACAAGCTTTATAAGTATATTTGTATTAGCCATCCAAAATCCACAGTGAGAAATATTATCTTGATAACTTAAAAATGCATAATATGATGTCACACGTCGTTGAGGCCCTGAGAAGCAGATGCATATTTGCAGTATTACAACATAGGTACATTTGATTATTTATATTATGCGTTCAAAGTAAAAGGAGGCAAATTAAGTCCAAAGTCATCATCAACAATTTCGATTTAACTGTGACATCATAGTAGAAAAGAAATAGCAAATATTACGATTAAAATGTGTTTTTCTTTACCAGTCGCGATTAAAATTCGACTTTATGACTTATGAGTATTAAGAGAAATCTTACAAATAACATTTTGACGAATATCAAACTTAGTTTACAAAAATGCAAGTATCATATAAAAAAGTAACAGTAGCGTCTATGTTTTCCATCCATATAATTGAACATTATCACAAGTTGCACTAGGATTTACCCTGTGGGCGCGCTTATAAACAACTTTACACACATCACAGCCAAATCCAGGTCAAGCACCTATAGATCATACCAATATTTATCCTTAAAATAACAACAAAATATTTGTAGCAGTCGTAAACTTCTATATTACATTTTCAACCTTATACTTCTGTAATAAGTTGTTAATCTGGATGGAGATTCCGGCTTCTTATGCCGAGGCTTTCATAATATATATTAAAGAAAGCCCATTAGACATATAGTTTTGATATTTTTTTGTATAGAGCCTTTGTCAATTATTTATTTCAATACTTAGGCCAATATTGACGTAAAATATTTTTAAACAAACCATAAAGTTAAACTAAGCCGTGAGGTACATTATGTCTCTTTCTATCTTAAATTAGTACCGGTTTTAGTGACAGCTTAAGGAAAGAAAGAATACCAGTTGCTGCATGTGACTAAGAGCCCTTAACGTGGCTTGGAACCAGTCGGGTAACCTCGTGAAGCATTTACATAAGTAAGAGGTAAAACAAAATTACAATTGTTTATGTTTGTAATAGGATGGAAGAAATTGCAGAACTGAATGCTGTAATCTGGTGCTACCAAATATGGCCCTACATTTATTTTTAACCGACTTCAAAAAAGAGGAGGTTGTCAGTTCGACGTGTATTTTTTTTATGTTTATTTATCGTAACTTTTTGCAACAAAATATACAAGAACGGGCTTAATGTCATTGGCATATTAAATGTTAATAAAAATATTGTTATTTTTATGGTTTCTTTATAAAAAAATTAAATCGTTATCGGCCTAAGTACGGTAGTAAAATCTATTGATAAATAGGTACCGTAAAACAGGGTGAATAGAATTCGAGGGGTAAATAGACACGGAATAGGGGTGAATAGATACTAGGAAAATTCGCCAACATTTATTCTTTCGTGTATCTATTCACCCCTCAAATTCTATTCACCCCGTTTTACCGTTAACAACAGAAATATTTAATAATAGATAATTTGTTACTAAAAGTCTATAAAATATTATGTATTATACCTATTATCTAAGGCACGACAACTTTATGTGTTTCTGTGTCGTAGACAACGCTGTATGGGGTCAGTTCGACCATGTTTATTGCAGCTAATTGATCCGCTATACTGTAGCCGTCCTTGTCAAATAATTCCACGGTTATTTCATCGTACTCTCGTGCTCTGTAAAGAGAATAAGGATTTATTTATAATAGAAGGTATCTGGAATAAGAAAACTAGTTTTATTGACAGTTTAGAAGTGTGGGAGAGCCATGCTTCAGTAAGAATTGGTCAGCTCGAACGGAGTGATACCACGGCCTTACAGAAAAGCTGCGTGAAACAACTACTGCGTTGTGTTGGGAGTGAGGATACCGGAGGCCCAATCCATCTTCCTCTCCCCTAATCCTCCGAAATGTACTAACATAATTTCCACTATTTTTCAGACCCATACTGACTAACCCCCCGGGGGTAACTAACTAACGGGGGGGGGGCCCGTTCCTACTCTTGCTCTGGGCCGACGCCGCGGTGTCTCATCGCGCTTGCCTCGCAACCTCAGCTGAACATAATCCCTGCAGGGCCTCGTCTGTGGCGGTCTATTGGCTCTTTGAGGCACCCGCGGAACGCTCGGCGCCGTCCGCTCGGGTCTGGTTCTAGTCGGGCAGCAAGCTACCCTTATTTGTCGTCAGTAGACCCGCGCTTAATGTGGCCGAAGATCATCTCTTGATTAAAGTACATTTGGACACCAATTGTGTTTCTGAACAGATATTAAGTTTTCAATTTGCTATTTATAACTTTCACAAAAACAACAAACAACTACAAATAGAATTGAACATACATAACATGAGCGTCCAGCAAGGTATCCTGCAGCATTTCGGAGAGTGCCCTCTTGGCCTGTGCCCACTGTTGGGACAACTGAGACCGTGCCCTCACTCCCGCGAGTGCACAGCGTATCGCCTGCGCTGGGAGGGCCATGTGGCGGGCCTCCAGCACTCGAAGCTGGTCCTCTTTCACCCACATCACTGTGCCGTAGTCTACGTACTGCACCTGGTAAAAGAAGTATGGTTTTTGTTTTATCCTACATCACCAGCCTATAAGTGCCCACTGCTGAGCAAATATCTTTTCTCACATGAGGAAAGTTTGCATGCAGGGTTGCTCAAGGCTGTTTCGTAATTTCATCTCAGATCTCCTTATGATGGTTTCCTTTGCCGTATGCTAGCTGTATCTAAATAAATACAATCAGAAAGCACGTGTAACTCGGACAACCCACTTTGTAAATAGTCAGGTTTAGCACCTCATCCTCATATATGAGAAGCGGGTCGAAATCCTTTTAGATTCCTCCCAGCATATCACGTGCAATTAATTTTCATGATTGTTATGACTGTATATGAAGTTCGTGCCCTTATTGTGTAAAAATCAAAATTTCTAAAGTTTTTGTATCGAAAGGCTTCAGTGGTAATATTACCTCGACAGTCTGATCAGCCCTAGTGACAGACAACACTCGAGCTCTGTACCACTTGTTGTCCAAGGGATACAAGGCTGCAACTAATTCTCCTTGCGCCGGTGCCACCTGAGGAAAAAAATATGCAATCTGTAATATAAAAATAAATCGCGAAAATGTTGGTAAGGGAATAATACACCGAGAATGAAAAAAACATAAAAAAATTTCATCATTAAATTTTTATTATTTAATATAAAAAGACATGCCAAGATTGTTTAACTTTAGGTAACCACCAACATCGATAGACCATAGTATTTTACTTACCATAAGTGGTTTGTATGCCGCTATGGTGGCCAGACTGTTCATGTCTCTCACGAGGGCAGGCAGAGTGGTCGCGGGCAGTACTACGCCAAAGCTTGGGATCTCATCTGTTCGGAATAACAAGAACATAATTATAAATGTCGTTTACACATTCTAGTTTAAAAACTATCGTGAAACATACTGAATCAATTTAAAATGCTTCGGCACGAATGGGTCGGCTCGACCGGCGTGAAACAACCATAGCGTTTTGTTTCGCCGTGTGAGTAAGATTACCGAAGGCCTAATCCGTCCCCGCCCCCAATCCCTAATCCCTAAAAGGTCGGCAACGCACTCGTAACTCCTCCGTTTGGGGGTGTCCATGGGCGGCGCTGATTGCTTACCACCAGGTAATCCGTCTGCTCGTTTGCCGACCAATTACATAAAAAAAGTATTTGTTAACAAAGTATTATGATTACGTCTCAAAATTGCATATAAAAGTGTTTGATATTTCGATATATATTTTTTTAAGAAATCGTCGCCCTACTCTAGTGTTTTCTCCACAATCGTGGATGCGTTTACAAACATACCAATTTACATAAACATGTCATTTAGACCCATAACAATAATTTGTGCAGATGATAAAAATGTAGGTGATGTTACGGACAAGAATCGAGCCCACGACGGGCCACGTGCTCAACAATGGTGCAGTCAAGTCATTATCCATAAGTATCTAAGTACACTAAAAACTAGAATATGAAAGTGTTTATTTTTTGGTGAATTACTAATGTATTAAGACCCAGTTTCTGAAAGGCTTGTCAACACTAAAATTAACTAATTTCCTGTTAAATCTCTTTTCAAGTCATTTGATTGGTTGTTGATAATTTAGTCAACCAATCAGATGACTTGACAAGAGATTAAACCGATTTTAACATTGATCAGCCTTTCGAAAAATGATGTTATCTAGACGTAAGTAGTTTTTAATTTGATTAACCTAGACCGTCTAATAGTATGCTAGGATAGTTTTTATGAGATAGGTTGGTAAAAACAGTTGAATCGTTAGGGATTAACTGATGGTAAGCAATCCGCCCATGGACACTCGAAACACCATTGGAGTTACGAGTGCGTTGCCGGTCTTTTGGCGATTAGGGTTTCGGATATTTATGGATTGGGGAGGGGTGGGGGTAAGTTGTCGTATCTCAAGGATGCGGGTACGAAGCGAATTATACGTATTTTCTATGATTATTTAGACACCACTGGCATATGATGACCGAAAACATCGTGAGGAAAACTGAACTTCAGATTTCTATTAGTAAGTTTGGAATTGCCAATGCGCCTTGAACAAGTGTACCTAGTGATTAATGCTCAAACCTTATCCAAGTGATAAGAGGCCTTTGTTCAGCAGTGGGCACTTACAGGCTGATGATGTGATGGGGGAAGGGGAAGGATTAGGATTCGCTCACACGGCGAAATACATGACTAGTTTTCTAATATCTGGCTCGAAGGACCAATATGTTGGGCGTAAATCCAACTATATGTATACATTTTGGTTAATATGGTAATGGTTAATGCTTAATGGTATGATCAAACGCGGTTTGATTAGTGACCGATCGTTAACTAACTTTACAATAATTTTAATATTAAGATTAAATGTTTGTGTCAGTGTGGAACTGCTGACTGCGCGCGCGGGTACTTTGTACACCGTACTTTCTTACCGTTTTCATTTTCGTCTATGATTTGCACGTAGACTCTGTCGTAGTGGCAGACATTGGTCACTAGCACTTTGAGCCACGTGTCCGGGGCCGGCAGCGGGATAGACTTGCATTTACCCATCACTGCTATACGATCTAAGGTCCAACCATCTGTAAATTTGATAATTCTAGTTAAGAAAAGAAAAAATAATCTTTCTTTCAATGCATTTTTAAGAGAAAAGACCTAGGAAAATCCTGTATTAGTAGACTTATTTGCAATCCTCTTTAGAGAGGGACTGTCATCTAGTAGATCCTCCTTGGAATGAGGATGAGACGACAAGTTTTGATTGATATGCATATGTGTGTACTATATGTGTAACAGTCTTGTATGTTATTTATATCAAAATTTGAAAGACTAATCTTGGAGTGTGGCATGGAGATCTTATCTATTAACACATTCAGTGCCCCCGACGCGTATGTGCGTTTCCTCGCACGCACATACGCGTCGGAGGCACTGAATGTGTTAAACTAATCAAAAGTTAATATTTTAGACTATATAAGATAAATACAATTATATGTATACCTACCAGGGTGTTTGAGAATATGTTTCTTGGTGCACCGGGATCCCTTGAAGCAAGTCTTTTCTGGACCGCCCTTGTAATGCTTGCAAATATCAATCTCGTCCCGATTTTTGTAGCCCTGTTAACAAAAAATGCGAGAAGGTTATTCGTTATATATTCTACAAAGGCGGGCGCAGTTAGACGACTTTTAACTAAATCATTCTTTGATTCTCAGTAGCAGCTCTCAAAATAATATTGAGATTGATCTGGTATTTATTCCTTTTTTATATAAAAAAAATCCCTAATCTTAATACGATAGTTGTAGTAATTATATGTGAAGGCTTGTAAATAGCAATTTAATTGGGTAGTTGCCTAGGTCAAAAATAAATTAATTTGACGTTTCAATACAATAAAATATTGAAAAATAACTATACTTTTATTCATTGATCGAGCGATACACTAAGTATTAGATTTTTTTAGCAAATTATTAAGAAATCTATTTGACGCAAAAATGTCATGACGTCATAACTCAGTTTTTCATAGAAAAGAATCGTTTTTGACGTTTGGATAAAAGTATTGAATTTGACTAGTTGGAAACTACCGTATTATCTAGTTTAAGTTAAAATATTTAAGTACTATAAATCTGTAAGCCTTCTGTAAGAATATTAAAAATAAATGTCGTTATAAGTTGTAAACAAATGTATTTTTTTAATTTCGTATCCGCTATTTCGCTTGGTGGTAATCGATGATGCGACCTACGATGAAACATGCCTTATCAATAAGCAACCTATTCACTTGGGCCTTGAAGACACCTAGGGTAAGTACACTCTTCGGGGAACATAGACTTCGGCAAATAATTCTACTCCTGCTTCGCGCGTGTGGATGGGTGATTCTTCACATCAATTTAACAAAAATTAATGATGTCATAATGACATCAACTTCAACTCAAAATTAAAGATTCTGCAGATTAAAAAGCAAATTATGATTTTGTTTAATTAAATCGCAACACGGCTTACAAGCAAACGATTAAAAAAATTGAAAAATAAGTTACTATAAGATGCTTTACAACCCAGGAGGATACAGATATTTGTTAAATAAAATCTAAGGGTTTTTGGACAATCACCCGGGTGGCGATGACGTTATGCTGATTGTCTGTTGGTACAATAGTTGTTAATACTAGGGGGGATTAAAGAGCGTAGATGTTTTTTTTATGTGATAGGTCGGCAAGCGAGCGAACGGATTACCTGATGGTAAGCAATCAGCACCGCCCATGGACACTCGTAACAACGGAGGAGTTACAAGTGTTGCCGACCTTTTGGGGATTAGGGATTAGGATATTTTGGGATTAGGGGAGGGTAAGGATTGGGCTTTCGGTAACCTCATTCACACGGCGAAACACAACGCCGTGATTGTTTCACATCGGTTTTCTGTGAAGCCGTGGTATCACTCCATTTGAGCCGACCCATGGCTCTCCCACACTAATTTTAATCTTGCTATTACCGTTACAGCTTCAACGGGGTCGTCATACTCGGGGCAGTCCGTTATATCCAGTCCGTCACTAGGCCCAGCTGCCGCCTGGTCGCCAGCCAGCTTGTCTACTGGAAATACAATATGTCATTAAGTGGAAAATTTTGCACCAATGGCAACTCAGAGAGATATAACGACAATGTTCAACAGATGACGTCACAACGACACAACTCGGAAAGGAAATAAGAAAAATAGGAGCATAAAGAATTATTTAATTTAGGAATCGAACCTGAGATGTTCTGTGCAGTAGTCGGACATCCAGTCACTGCAGCATCTACAGATTTATTGCAGACACAGGACCATTCAAACATTCGAGTTTAGTACTAAAATTAAATAAAAATGGACTTACTTGGTAGGGCTAATCCTTGCTGCACGATAATTTTATTCAGAGTCTCGCCAGACGGCAATATCACGTACACGCCTAGAGATTCAGACGTACTGAAAAAAAAAGTTTCCTTTAGACGCTAGAAATAACAATGCTTAGGTAGTTTGTCAAATTTATGATAAAAAGTATTTAATTGACGGTTCCAATCTAGATAATCGAAGCCAAGCTTAAGTTGTAGTTGATACACGCATATTGTATCAACGGTTAACACGTGTTGTTCGGTTGTCATCGTCGGAACTTACTGAATGTTTGCATGCTTTATAATAAGTACGGTAGTTTCCAACTAGTCAAATTCAACACTTTTATCCAAATGTCAAAAACGATACTTTTCTATGCAATTTGTATGAAACACTGAATTATGACGTCATAGTATTTTTGCGACAAATGCGTTACTTCTAAGTCGGGACAGCCATGCTTCGGCACGAATGGGTCGGCTCAACCGGAGTGATACCACGGCCTCAAAGAAAACCGGTTTCGCCGTGTAGGTGAGGTTACCGGAGGCCCAATCCTTCTCCTCCCCTAATCCGTAATTTCCAAATCCCTAATCCCTAAAAGGTCGACAACGCACTCATAACTCCTCCGTTGCGGGGGTCCATGGGCGGCGCTGATTGCTTACCTCAGGTAATCCGTCTGCTTGTTTGCCGATCTATTAAATAAAAAAAAACTTATTTCTAAAACTTAGAGCATTGATCGTATAAGTACAGTATAGTTATTTTTCAATATTTAATTGCAATATAACGGTAAATTAATTTATTTTTGACCTAGGAAACTACTCAACTGAATAGATAGGTACAAAATTAGAAAGAAGGCTGGGAGTTTAAGAAGCCCGCTTCTCATGCAAGAGGTTGCGACTTCAAAACCTGGTAAGTACCAATGTACTCTTAAGTATATTTAGACACTACTGGCAGGTGGTGTAGGAAAACACCGTGTTAAAACCTGGACTTATACCAATCCGCCTTGAGTAATTGTAGGGATCAATGCTTAAACTTTCTCCGTGTGACAAGAGACCTTTGCTTAGCAGTGGATACTTAGATAGGTAGGTAAGGTAGGGTAGGTAGGTAAGGTAGACGATTTTTAGGTAGGTGATTTTTGACTTTTTTGACTTGGTCAAGGAAAGGTAGAGTAGGGCAGACAAAGGCAGAATAGTTGAGTGCGGAAAAAAAGTCGCGAGCACAAGGTAGTTCTATAGTTCAGCCGGGGTTGCGGGGTAAGCGCAATGAGGCACCGCGACCTCGGCCCAGAGCAGGAGAAGGAACAGGGGGGTTTTTAGTCAGTAAGATTCTGACAATCCCCCCCGCCCCTCCCTGGGCGGGAGAAGTCATTTGATGATTTACCCCTCACTAAAAAGAAGGTAGTTCTATAAAAATAAATATGAAGGTGCTTACTTATCATCAACCTCGATGCTGGCTTGCGTGCCGATGTACGCTGACATGAACACCTCCTGCTTCTCCATCAGACTCTTATTGTTGTAGCTTACGAGGTCCACCTATAATAAAAATAATCTTAATTTTATGAATGTATGAAAGGTATAAGGTAAGATGGTTTCCTTAATTTACTAAAGGTGCCAAAAGTCTCTTGGCAATATGTGGGTGGGAAATTGTACACCGTCAAATGTATGAAGAATTTTTTTTTATCATACTATGTCAAAATAGGGATAATGACTGGGTCGAGAATAAACTATTTAGACTAATTCTATTAATCTAATTACACTAATACATACATACATAGAAGCCTGTTATTTAACTGTCTCTTAAAATAAAAGCTTGTAACAAAATAGCGACATTCTCCAATTGTTATGTTATAAAAAAAAAATATTGAAATTGATTAGTACCTTTTGAATTTATCTCCCCTATTGAAGTTTCTTGTTTTTCCTAGCATTTGTGAGAGGATAACGTGGACTATGTATCACCGAAATTTGTCATTATTTCAAAAAAGACTCATAATCTGAGTTTCTGTCATTCGACCATAGAATCACATATACATCATAGGTAGAATGTTCGTTGTAGTATACTGACCCCCGCTAGATGGCAGCAGCGAGCGTAGGGCGGTTTGGCACAGAATCGCCTGTACAAGGGCTGAACACATTCCACCGGCGCGACGCGCATCTCTCCTGTATCCACCACGAAGATCTCTGCTAAAGTGTTGTCCTCCTGGTAATGATTAAAATGATAGCTTAAAAGTACTGTTTTGTAGGCTTTTTGCTAAATATTATCGCCAATTTTTTTCTAAACATAATTCTAGAATATACCTTGCAGTACCCTTATGGTTCTTACAGATATATAAGGTAGGTACAGCATTAACGAAATCGCATCAGACAAGCAATTCCTACTAATCTATACTAATATTATAAAGAGGTAAAATTCGTAAGTTTGTATGTTTGTAAGTTTGTATGTAGGGGGTAATCTTTGGAACCGCTGGTCGGATTGCCAAAATTCTTTCACTGATAGATAGCTACAATGTTCCTGAGTGCTATAGGCTATATAGAGCAGTTACAAATTTTACCTCTTTACATCGATCACTAATAAAGAACTAGATAAACAATCCCATACAAAAGTTCGCTTCAAAACTGTCGCCAACTGTATTTAGGTACTTATACTTGAAATAAACATGTATTGATGTAAATTAAACTTTAAATGCAACTCATAGAGTTTTTTTTCACAAAGTGATGTACAAAATCTAAACATTTTTTGCATAAATCATAAGAAATTGAACCATATTCGCATGTTTTTAAGTCGAATTTGCAAAGTGTCAAAAATAAGCAATAAAATTTAACGACTTCGGCTCACCGCCTGGACAAAGAATGATTGGAGTCGAAATGTCTCGAAAGAAATATATTTCTTTCATATTTTTTTTTGATAATTTATCAAAAAAAAAAAAATACTCAAATTAAAACGCTTTACTTATAGTATTCTTTTCTATAGGTTTGTTCATTTATTTACCAATGGAACTAATGCATATAGTTAATTTTTTTTTATTATTTTCGTCCTCCTTAATCCTTCCTAAATTTGGAATATTTTTCAAAGTATATATGTATACTTTGAAAAATATTCCAAATTCGAAGTCAAATAAAAAAGATGTAAAATAATAAAAAGAATATATATCTAAAGTAAGTACTGAAAATGTTGGCGTTATTGTTGTCAATTTTTCATATCGCACGGGATTTTGATGAAAGCTAAAAAAAAAATGTCTTTACTGCAGTTAAAATTAAATCCATTATATCTGCCTATTCCATATTTTAATAAACACAGTAAAGAAGTATAATATTAAATAAAAACTATTTTTTAATAAAAAAAACAATAAATAAAATTAGAAACAATAGCGTCTCCACTAAACGGAACAGAATCAATCCACGTAAACCGAACAACTTAAGTGGTTATGCTAGAGAGTGATTTTACGTTTAGCATAAGTGTCTTTATAAACTGTGTGCATTATAACCCCGGTTTTTGAATACGATTTCATTTGGAAAAAGTTTTAAAGTTGATTTCTTAATAAAATATCAATATTTAAAATAGAATGATGACAAGTATATAATGATAAAATTATTACTTAACGAAAATATGAAATTCCATCCTTTTTTGCGTCTTAGATGTGTGTTTTTTGCAGTTTTTAAACGAGCACTGAGGCGTGTTTACCGTCGGAGCATTCGAGTGGTACTAAACTAAAACTACACCGCGATGTTGAGTTTGGTGGACTTTCAGTTAGGACATTTTTTTGTCACTGATTGTGTATCTAGTTCTTTATTAGTGATCGATGCCTCTTTATAATATTAGTATAGATATATTTAGATTAGAAAATCACTATTTGAAACGACAATCACTATTTGAAAACAGTATACATACATCATTAAGTTTAAGGAACAGGCCTCGGTAGTAGCATTTGCTATCGTCATCGTAGAAGGCGCAGCAGGTGAGCGTCTTCACTTCGTTCGCGTCGATATCCCTGTGGTGCTCGCTGTAGAACTTCGTCATATCAATCATGAGGCTGCAATATAAACAGACTTGATTAGCAGGACCGTATTAACCGGTAGGAAGTATAGGCGACTCCATAGGGGCTTCGGAAAGCTGGAAGGTCTTAAGCTAATAAGAAAATAATATGTAGGAGATGATAAAAACAATAAAACTTTTAGAGAACAGATGGTAGGTATAGTTCCCTTATATCGGAAAAGGTGGATCGTCCGACCAGGCGAGGTGGTGATCGTGCCGTTCGATTGGTGCCGTTGCTGCGTGTTGTGCGGTAGATGTCGCTACTAACCCTTCCGTCAATCGAAAAAAACTTTCTTCCATTAGTTTTGTTTTCGTTGGGGTAAAAACCTCAAATGCCTTCTCGCGTCTCCGGTAAGGACAGGAGTAGTGTCAGACTCTTACATGTTAAAAAACCCCCGTTCCTTCTCCTGCTCTAAGCCGAGACCGCGGTGCTTCATTGCGCTTACTCCGCAACCCTGGCTACTTTCATTAATATTAAAAATCGTTTAAATTCATTTACGAAAAAGGCCCCGCCTAGCCTATGCCGTATTATAATTCCGGTCGCGCCGGCTCATTCATTCCGAAGTATGATTCTCCCACACTTAAAACATATCACAAATATATCCAATTGTTTCTGGCATCAAGTACAAAAAGTACTCACTTCTTAACTTCCTCAGGATCCTCGGTGATGACCCAGAAGAAAGTGCCGTCGACGTGCATGATGGTAGCGTCGTACACGTGTTCTGTTTCGAGTATAGTTTGAGCCGGCAGGTTACTGCTTTCTGAAGGCGATGTAGCTACTGACGTTGTTGGCGGATCTGTGGAGAAAACCAAACAAATTGGGTATTTTCCTCGGTTAGAAATAAATTCCTTCAAGATTTCGATACAACACAAAAGTGTAAGAGAGATACGACCGGAGTGATACGACGGCCTCAGAGAAAACCGGCGTGAAACAACCACAGCGTTGTTTCGCCGTTAGAGTGACGTTATGCTATGCCCAATCCCTTCCCTTCTGATGTCCAATCCCTCAACTTCCCCCCATCCCTTCCCAATCCTTAAATATCCGAAATCCTTATCCCTAAAAAGCCGGCAAGCTTTGGTGTAGCAAGTGTCCATGGGTGGCGCTGATTGCTTACTCTCCTTGGCTTGGCTCTCCCACATTTAAGTGGCTTTCCTGTGAGGCCTTGGTATTGCTTTGAACCATTCGTGTCGCAGTAAGGCTCTCTCAACATGTTAAAACATATTTGCCCCGACAGAATTTTGTATTCGGTACTTACATCGTGGGTGTGTTATAAAAACAAATTCAGATTACAACTTAGTACCTATGCTATTTTATGTCTTTTAAAAGTCTATAAAGCATAGGCTAGTGTAGCCCTCGCTTTTTTTGATTAGGGGATTCGCCAGGGCCAGACTATTAGACATTCAACCTTAGATAACTAAAGGTAATCTGACAAACGGACCTTTTACTATATTAGCGACATCTGGCGAGTAAAACAGTAGCCTCATTCAGCTTAAAATAATAAGTGTCACAAATCTCATGTAATTGCTAACTCATAGGGCGAAATTGAACATACATTGTGTGTTATAATAATAATAACGTTCTGTTTTATGTTTTACATCTAGTAGAAAATAGCTCACTTATTAAAAAAAACCATAGATAAATAAGATTATTAAGTAGGTAGGAATGTGTTATTATCACTACACAGTATAAATAAGGTCGCCTGTTCCGTACCTATATCTATAGCTTAAAATGAATAGAGGAATGTTTATATGTATTTTCACATCTATTAAATAATGAGGACATTTAGTATTAGCATGGCATCAGTGCGATGCCGGGGCGGGTCGCTAGTGATATATAAACGACTCTTAGTACCTATGTTTAACTACATGAAATGCCATTACTAAACCAGATAAACCTCTAGGGCCTTATTACAAAACAAGGTTGTACTTTAGTCTAGGACTAAAACCATTGAGCCAGTTTTCGTATTTCGAATTGAAGATAGAAGAAAATAAGATTCTAAATTTAAAACCCGACTCAATGGTTTAAACCTGGACTAAAGATAAATCTTGTTGTGTTATAAGGGGGCTAATGTTTACGATAATTATGATATAATAACTTATCATAAGTATTTGTGTAGGTACTTAGAACTATTGCGAAAATGGCTTCATTTGAAAATAGGTTTTTAATAACTCTTAATGGTAGTTAAATTATTTATTAGTGCATTGCTCCAACCAGTTGATAAAGCAGTCATTGGTCATTTGTTTAGCTTTGACGATGATTATACCTAATTGTATTGTTATGAGACATTATATTTTTCTAAAAGTAGACAGAATGTGGTTGTTTCAAACTACTACTACTAATCAATTTCAAAACTTTTATAATAATACTTTTCTATCAATATATATAATTTTTATTAAATTGCAAAAACATTATAATGTCATATACATCACAATGTAAAAATATGTGAATTAACAAAAAAATCTAAAATTCAGTATATTGTCATGTCAAATCAATACATGTAAATATAATATGATTTTAAACCTAGGAGACCTACCCATTTTATTATGAGTAAGGAAAATAATTCATCTATTCAGCAAATAATTTTGCTTATAAGTTTACATCATTTATGTGTTATAAAGTATATAAATCTTTATAACCTAACACTCTTACTAATTATACTGAGGGACAAAAAACTGTAGTATTATATATATATAGTGGCTGACTGTCAAGCTCCAGGGGCACTGGTATTCTTGACTGGGTTGATTGAGTAAAACACTTGTGATTGTTAAGACTAATAGGCTCTGGTACAATATTATGGGTGCGTGTTACGAGCTGCGGCGAGCGCGGTCCGAACCAATATGGTCGGCGACCCTCTGTTGACGTCACATAAAGCGGTGGAACAAGTCCAGCGTTAAAGCAGTTGTAGCTAACATATAGTACTAGTATATTAAGTTTATTTTCTCAAAAACTAACACATATTAATAAGCCTTCAATGATGATTAGTATTAGACGCATCATTCAACTAAGAAATGCAAACATACCTTCTATCTTTACGTTCCGTAACTCAGCGTCAAGTTCACATTGAACCTCCTTCGCTGCCACTTCACTCTTCATTTGCTGAACACTTTCTTCTGAAGCAGAACTGCTTGAAAACACAATCAAAGGCTGGTTTTCTTTCAGCGTTTTAGCCCTTTTTGGTTTTTCCGGAGGGCAGTTATTTGAGCAAGATGTTGATGTTGAAGGGGCTGGCTCACTCAGTGCGTCTATCAGGTTGTATGGAGCCATGGGTGTTGGCATTAACGGTTTTGCTGGTGTATCATGCACAGGGGTATTGTCAGTAGCGGTAGCTTCATCTGTAATATACATTATGGTTGGGTGAAAGGTTTTTAATGACTAGAAGTTTTATTAGTGAACTAAAACTTATTAACAAACTACGAATTCACTTTACATTATCAATTTGAATAATAAAAAGTTTTACAAATGAAACATATTGTTGGAAACAAAAATAAAGAACATTTACTGGATAAAGTGGTACCTTAATTGTAATTTAATAAAAGTTTGTGAGAATTTTTCCTAGAGAAGATTGATATGGATATATGCTAATGACTATTCCTTTTTCTTATTTACAAAGTAATTATTTTCTAGTTTTTCTGGTAATGTTGTAGGGAAAAAGGGTAAGTATCTGTAAAAATAGACTTACCAAGTTTAGAAATGGCAATATTAAAATCGGTTATAAGATACATGTATTCATCAAGCTGTTTCATGCAGTTCAGGAATCTCTCTTTCAGCTCATTCGGATCACAGTTGAGTTGTTGTGCGAAGCCATCGGTCTGTAACAAGAGACGTTTATTGGGAAAACTTAATTTGGACTAAGGTTTAATCAGGTTTAATGGCACATTAGAGTAATGTCTTAAATAATTAACTATTTCAAAATATTGTATTGACTACACAGTTGTCTCATTGATTAGGTCATTGGCTGCTGTGAATTGTGTTGCAAGTTCGAAATTTTGTAAAATCCAGAAATTGTTGTTCCAGGTCTGGGTGTTTTAGTGAAATTGTGTGTTTGCAAAAGAACCCATGACCCAGGAGAACCTCTAGTCTGGGGCAATTCTCACATTTAAAAAAAGGTATATGAGGTTTCTACATTGATTTAAGTTGATGCTGGTTACATCAGTAAAATCTGGAAGTATTTGCCCAATGTTCAGTCAGTCAATTAAATTTTAAATGAATAAAGTTAAGTGGGCCATATATTTATGCCACTCCAACTCTTCGTAAGGGTGTCGTGATAGCTACATTTTTTATGCGAAAGGTAAACAACAAATATTTTAAACTACACTACAACTACTACAATATTATTGTTTTAAAAAGTTTTCACTGTTGCAATTTATTGCTTATTTTATTTTAAGACATTCTGAGACAAACTTCGTTAGGTAGATTAGGTAATAAGTTTAAGATATTTTTCAATTCACTGATGTTCTCGGACAAAACTGAGCATGTGAAAAAAATATTGTTTTACCTTCTGTTTTAACCTTTTTATATCTTCGACCGCGCGATCACATTTCTCGTGAAAGATTTGTGTCCGGGCTTCCATTTCTTGCCGTCGGTGCATAGTTAACGTTGCGAGGTCGACGAAACTCCTAAAAGAAAGTAAACAAACAATAATCATTACAAAAGTTTGGCAACAGCGAAGTAAATTTTAGAAAGGCAAATGAAAGTACTTACATTTTGAAATGTTTCAGATACTTCAGCCAATTTCAATGCAAACTTGAGTTTGTGCAATATTCAAAATTGCATTTCTAAACTAAAAACAACGAAGTTTTTTAGTTTTCCCAAATAAATTGGACAAAAACAAACGGCCCGTGTTCACCCGACTTTACCCGAGTGAGGCTAACCACAGACTATTAATATAGTGGGATACAATTGTGACTTGAATGAACGAAACCAGCTATCCAAAAATAATAATGAATTAAATATTTAATTACATTTTAATTACAAAGAGGAAATGAAACGGCATGTGGACACTACTTATTATAATTGCAAATGTAATTAAGATGTTTTTATTTTCTTGGCTGACATCTATATTTTGTGGAAGCTACTCTATACTAGATGGCATTAAATTTTATTACAGTGCTGCTACTCGTTCCTAGATGGCGGTAGTAGGCAAAATGTGGACAAGTTTTGACTTTCTATAAGGTTTGGATTTATGTTTAATCAATCCCAAAGTAATAATAAACTTGAAAAAAGAAATTGCTGTAATTTTCTATCTTCTTTTTTATTTATTTCGTCGTTTTTCAAAACTACCTACTGAACTAAAAGTCTACTCTTCAGTTTTTGGATCTGACCGAGTATCATTGGAATATATTCGGAAATTTTCAAGAATTGAGTCTGGAACCCGGTGTTTGTCAACTGCTCATTTTAAAAAGGACATAACTAGTGAAAAGTGTGCGCTGTTAAATTATCTATCTACTTATAACTAGATACCGTGCCGTGTTTCATCAAGAAATTTTAAACATAAAAAACATTGGAAACCTTCTTCATTCGGAAGTAAATTCTAATAACTTTGGACCAAAATACATACTAATAAATATTAATTAAAAGGCCATATTAATAGTCATTTCATACAATGTAATATAAGATCGCACTAACAGTAAAAATATAGCAAAATGAAGTCAGTTAAAAATAGAGTTATACAGCAGTGGTTTCATTAAACAGACAGCGGGCGGGTTACGCACTACATTTCAATTAAAAAGGCCAACAACAACTAAACAAGGTCCATATAATAAATTCAGTGCACCCCGCTCCGCGCGCCACTAATTGGATTCAGAGGCTCAAGCAACCAATTAGAGGGAAAGAGACAAAGATACGGAGGGGGTTCCTGCCCAATGAGGGAGGGAGTGCGAATATGGTGTCTGCTAAATTTCAAAACACCTCCCGAACTGGTCAGACCGTTAAAAGTTAATGAGGTTATCGCAGTTCCCGTAACTGTAGTATTGAGATGAAATAAATTAAAATATCCTCGTGTAAATCGGGTCTATCAGCTGGAAAACGCAGGCACATTAAAGTGAAATCTTTCCATGGTCGACAGGGAAGGGTCGGACATATCGCATTTTGATGTCATTATCCCGTTATGCAGCGCGTATCTGCCGGCAATTCCCCGCGTCGCTCCCGGACCGGGCTGCGGCCGACATCGCCGCCCGTCTGACTGTCGGATTGCCGGCTCGCGGCGTCCACGAGCTGTTATTACGGGCGGGCGGGGCGTTTAACTCAATTTGAGGTAATACTCTGGGACAGATACTTACTCTGATCGATGCTAATAGCTTTTATTGATATAGTCTAGGTGTTATTAGTTTACTAGTGGCCAGCTATCCGGTATAGTTAGTCGTCGTAAATAACGTTAATATCACACTTTGACGCGGTCGTGAGACCCTCAAATTGCCGCCTGTTGTGCATTTTGAGTTATTCGATAATTCATAGGCGTCCGTTGTGGTATATTATGTGCCGTTTACTTGGCTAACTGTATTTTCGCTCGTTGTGTTGGGAGTGGTTAGAAGTGTCGGCGGGAATAAGATAATTCACACGTGTTTCTCTTTAGGCGTGTGGAGATTGACGCCTCGAATTATTCTCTTACTTTGTTAGACGAACGAGGTTTTTATGCCGTGTTGACACGACGGCAGAATGGAGTACAGGAGTACGAGTGCGTTAAATTGATGGTAACTCTTTGTGAGAGATTACTCTATAAGTAGTTCTGTTAGATGCAAAGCGGTCAATCATTTAGCAAGATCTAAATTAATAGAACACTTGATAACAATTTCAAACATAATTTAGCGACGTGTAATAAAATTTGTTTCAGTTTTAAATCACCTGCCTAGGTAAACCTGCAATATTTATTATATACTTATTTTTTATTTTTTATAAAACTAAGCACATTCTTAACGCGCCTCGATCGTCACAACCTCATTTCTGCATTGTTCTCACATATGGGTAAACCTAATAATGTGTATTAAAATAATGTATTGGTGAGCTTGTAACACATTTTTTTAAATACTTAGTGGAGATGAAATTTCTTGGTCGTTCTTCTCGATCCGAATCTACAGTTTAGAACGAGCACCTATATTCCTTTTCTCACGAATAGTCTGTTCGTGAGTGAAGGAATAAAAAAAGAGTGAAAAAAAGAATGAAAAAGGAATGAAAAATAGCCACAATGTATTCTATTTTGACGTATCAAAAAACAATAATTCTGACTTTGACTTTATAAAAAAATATGTATTTTTAAGTGATAACGCGGCAAACGATCATGACCTGACGGATTACCTGATGGTAAGCAACCACCGTTACCCATGGACACTGGCAACACCAGAGGAGTTACGAATTCGTCGATGTCCTTTAAGGGATACATTTTTCGAAGATCTATTGAAAGATGTTAAGAAGTACCTATACCTATATTTATTTATTTATTTTCAGAGTATTAATGTTCCATTCTTTGAAACCATTAATATTTTAGTATTACTACATTATTTGAACAGGAAAATTACTTTAGTGAAATAAGTAACGCCGGGTAGTCGAGCTATATAGGTATTAAATCAAAAGTTAGTAATATATAGGTGCGCCCACACAACATAAGTAGGCGTCGCGACGGTGGTTAACTCACAATTTACAATGGTGATCGAATAATAAATTGTTTTGTAAAATTTCCACACAAAATATATATTATGTTCATTAATTAAAGCATTATGTATTTTGTTAGTAGATTTTTTTGTTTTTTTTTTTGAAATGGGTAGGTATCTACCTACATAATGAAATATTATTTCTTTAATTTCGTGGAAAATTATTTCGTCAAATACTTACCTGCTAAGTAGTTGCAAATTTAAAATCATTTCTTCGGAAATTATTTGAATGTGTTTGTGTGGAAATGAATTTTGCCATTTGCAATGTAGGTATCTAGGTAATAAAATATTTTAGGTTTGAATATTTTGAGTTGTTATGAATCTTTAAGAGCAGGAGAAGGAACGGGGATTTAAATCAGTAAAAATCTGACAGTTCCTTCACCATATCCTCTAGGCGAGAGACGTCATTTGATGATTTACCCTTCTTAAAGAAAGCTGCCGTTGAGTGGATCTTTACCTTAATGTGATTAATCAGGCAATTAGGATCTATTGTGAGCATTAATTTTTATCCATTCCCGTCATATTATGTAGGTATATGTGCCTATGGTTGGCAGAGAATAATTCTACGTTTATTGATTCCCTCAATTCTCTATTCTCTCTAACACAATTCCACAAACAGAAAAACTTCAACTGAAGTGTAGGAAAGCCATGCTTTGGCACGAATGGGTCGGCTCGATCGGAGTCATACCACTACCTCACAGACAACCGGCGTGAAACAACCTCAGCGTTGTGTTTCACCGGTTCGGCGCGTATGGGCCGCCACGATCGGAGTCATGCCACGGCCTGACAGAATACCGGCGCGGCGTGAAACAAAACTTTTGTCGTGTTTCGTCATGTGAGTGAGGTTACCAGAGACCCAATCCTTCCTCCCAACCATCACCTTTCCTTAAAAGCATATTAAAACCCACCAAAGGCCAGCAGCGCACTGATAGTAACTCCTTTAATATTGTGAGTATCTATGAGCGGCGCCGATTGCTTACCATCAGGCAATCCGTCAGCTCGTTTGCCGACTTGTTTCTTAAAAACAAAAGACAACACAAACATTATTGATTGGGTATTCCTGCCAATTTGTAATAACCTTATTTCTGTTAAAACCCAACGCTGTGGTTGCTTCACGCCGGTTTTCTGTGAGGCCGTGGTATCACTCCGGTCGAGTCGACCGATTCGTGCCGAAGCTTGGCTCTCCCACACTTACTACTTACCAAGTAACAAATATAGGTTTAAAAGCATTTATTATACAGGTTTACAACCATCGTTAAAACTAGGTACTTACTTACCTAGATAAAATAGTCTTAGAAGAGTCTCACAAAGATTAGTACCGAACAAATGCTAAATGTTAATTAGTTTATAATCTAACGTGTTGCGTCTCACGTTTAATGAGTAATTAAAGAGGTTCGAACATCACTGCGGGGCTAATTTCCTCACTAATTACGATTACAACTCAACCAGGAATAATAGTCAATACGCCCCTGGCATGCTGCGTTTGAACGAGGCACACCGGGAGAGTAGAGTTGATTAGTCGAGAGTTGGAATGGAATAAGTTTTTTTAAATTCAATCATTTTTTAAATAACTTTCGAAGCTAGATCTATTTAAGTTTATATTAGTTTAAGACACATACACGAAAAATAAATCAATGTTGATTACGACAATTATTACCTAAATAAGTACTAGCTTCTCCTCTGCGGTTTTACTCGCTGCCCGTCTCGATTTGGTAGTAGTGGAATATTCTTGAGTATGGATTATCCAATACAAAAATAATCGTTCAAATTAAACCAGTTGTTCCGGAGATGATAACTTCAAACAAACGAACAAACTCTTCAGCTTTTTAAAAATATATTATAAAATAAAATTTATCAAATCAGCAGAGGCTAAAATACAGAACAGTCTGAAATTAATGCACTTAGATATACACGTGAATGAACGTCATATTTCAGTGGTTCTTGTACTATTGATTTTGAGTTACCTACGTAAAGAATTTTCCGTTATTTTATCTATAGCTACAACCTTTCTTTCCTATAACCTGAAAATAGAAAAATGCATAACAATAATATCTATCCAAGTTGCCAAACAGCTAGCTCGCACAGCACACGTTCTAAACGAGGCACCGTCGGCACGATCCCTGTAATTATTATTAACATTCAGCCGTTTCGCTCGTAGTCTGTAATTAAAACATAGTTAGGGCCAACGAGCAGACGCCTTGCCAGATTAATGTCTAATAGAAAT